TCTCCATCACCACCTATGCGTACATAGCAGACACGGACAATTTCACTGTCTTAAGCTAGGTGGGGTAGAAGAACTTCCTCATTGGAAGAATCTTCAGGTTGGACAGGTTATCTTAGTCACTAAGTGTTAAGTAAATTGATATTAAATATTAGTTCGCTTGTAGTGCATGTTCGCAGTGACTAATATTAGTTAGAACTATTTGTGAGATCGATGATTGCCGGATATCTTCTCTATATAATTATATATGTTTGACCATTGTGCCAGTGCTGGTCTATATAATTATCTATGTGATCAAGATGCAGAATGCTATATTGTGGTGCAAATAATTCTTTTGGCTGCAAAAACGGTTGTTAACTTACGTGTTACATGGGATGCCGCGATGGAAAATAATAGTGCTGGCGTGGGACACGTGGCATGCCACGAGCACCTAAATTATTGTTGATGTGGGCACCAAACCACCATTATTGTTAACAGTAATGCTATATTAGTGGTGTTGGACTCCCACACCAGTAAGACACTTGTTGCCACGTCATAGTTAGAGCATCTCCAGCCACGCCCCCAACACGCCCTTCCCAGGCGATTTCGCGCCGACGCCAAAAATCAGCCCAGTCGCGCCCCCAGGAGCCCGTTTTTCGCCGGTTTGATCCCAAACTGGCGCCAGTGGACCCAGGACGAACCCGACGCGCTGGGGGACGCCCGTGGCGCCGGGGCAAGCGGTTTTGGCGCGAACTAACTGCGGGCCCGCCGAGTCAGCGATACTCGCCTCTTCGTCCTCAGAACGCCTCGGTTTCCCGTGGGGAATCAATGCTGCCGGTCAGCCTTCCATTGATTCCTCACGGGCGGCGCTTCACGGGCGGCGCGGCGACGCCCTCCCTCCCGCCACGCGTACACACGACACTCGGCGGCTATAAAAGCATCGCCTCCCCGTCGCCTCTGGCCACACCACGCCATGGTCTGCCTCTCTATCCCTGTGCGCAGCCGCTGCCGATGATCCTCCCCTCTCTCCCCAAGCCCAGCCGCGACAATGTGCGAGCGTTTCCCCGGCAATGGAGCGGCGGCCAACGGCTTCGGCTTCCGCTCGCTGCACGAATGGGAGGCGTATTTGCTCTTCGAGGCCAACATCCCGGCGCCTCCAGACATGCGCGTAGGGCCGGGCGGATGGAGGCTCAGCGCCAGTGGCGTCGCCATTCCCCCGGTGCCCGACGTCAACGCGCGCGCCAACTACTTCGCCAACGAGGTCGACCGCGTGCGGGCGTCGCTGACCGTGGAGCAGCGCACCCTCCCGTAGTACGCCGCCGACAACCACGAGGCGTGGGCGGCATACTTCCAGCACCGGCAGGCGTAGCGGCTCACCTCCACCAACGGGGTGCCGGCGGTGGGGGCACCAAGAACAGCGAGGGGTGCCGCCTGTGGTGGGGCGCCCCCGGCCGCATGCTCCAAGAGGTTCTCCAGCACCTCGAGGGCATCAATGACCCGCCGCTAACATACCCTGCTACGGCCGCCGCCCCGGTCCCCCGTCGAAATGCCAGGCAATGGATGCCCAGGAGGTTCGGCCCCGCCTCGTCTTCCTCCTCCCGCTCCTCTTCCCGCTTCTCCGGCTCGTCGGTGGTGTTTGGCATCAAGGCCGAGCCCACAGCGGAGACGCCGCTCGGCTGGCGCACCCACAACGCCGGCATCGTCGTCAATGAGGGCGGCGGGCGCGCCTCCTCCTTGGCTCCTCCCCGCTACGTCAAGCCAAAGACGGAGTCGGGGCTCACCGCCGTGAAGACGGAGCCAGGGCTCGCCGGCGGCACGAAGGAGGAGCTCGACGACGCAGTGGCCTTGAAGTGGGCGCGCGAAGATTGGGCGCGGACGGAGCTGCAGCGCCAGTGCCACGCCTACGAGCAGTTCGCCGCTCGGCGCCATCGCTGCGACGAGAGAGGCGTCATCGTCCCCGACGACGATAGTGACAACGACGCGCCGCCGCCACCGGTCCGCCAGGGTGACGCCTGGCAGGTGTCCAGCAGGGGCGGCCGCGTCAAGGAGGAGATGGACGACGGGGACGACGGCGAGGATGGCGGTGGCGACGTCGACGACTTCGCCGCGCTCAGCACGTTCTTCGTCCCGTAGTTGTAGTTGCGGCCCTTCTTTTAAAAGTACTTCATTTTGCTATCTAAAAAACTATGCTAATGTCATGTTCGCCGAATTTTAGCTGAATTTTTGTCCCCATTTGCCGAACTTTAGCCGAATTCCTTTTTATTAAAAACCCGCCTTCTGGGGGCGACCCTGGGGCCAGCGGCTGGGATCCCGAAAGCCCCCACGCCGATTTTAGCGTTGGTTCGCCCCCAGGCAGCGATTTTACGCGCCCCCTGGGGGACGAACGGCTGGAGATGCTATTAGGCTTTTATGCACTAGTGTATACACAATAGAAGAACAACCATAATTATAAAGTAGGGGATTACGTCAACCATAGAGGGCCTAAACCTGTACATCCTTGTGTGCACTCATTTGCACCTCAATAGTTTTGCGCTCCATTCCTATACCTATACTTATTGTTGGGATTATATCCACGACAGTTGGCACCCACCGTGGGGCATAATATCTATCGATCTATAGTGCATATGGCTTCTCCTTCATCGATGGTCGGCGGCGAGCTACTTCCGAGGCAGGTCATCTGCTTTGGTTCACTCAGTTTCTCCATCATCGAGTCGCCCTGACATCAAGATGGTCTACGAGCAGCTATCGTCGCTCGCATCTTCTTTCGCCTGACGCCACTGGAGAACGTCATGCAGTGACTCCACATTGGCAATGGAGAGGGAGGTGCGTGGGTTGACGAAGATTGGCTTTGGATCTTGTACTCGGCAAGACATCGGGCCACGGAGGCGGAGTTCGCCGCATGAGTCAGTGATAAATTCTAGGCCTCCGAAGAAGAGAGCCTGGCTTGGCTCGTAAGTGTCGGTGGGCTCGATCAACCCCGCGGAGTTGGTGATGAAGTTCATCGCCCCAAAGGCAAACATCTTGCCAGGAGCAAAGGCGACATTGTTAATGTCAAATTCCATCTGGATCTCGGTTTCGGCTAGCATGACCCATACCTGGCGCGCCACTATCTTTGTGAATTCGGTAGACCCCTCGTTAGGGCGCAACGATAACCGTAAAAGCCTAGAGAGGAAACATGAGATAATTTACCTAGGTTCATCCCCTCATGGTGGACGTGAAACCCTGCTCCTGCTCTTTATTGTATTGATTGGATGGGATATACAAAGTACAAGGTAGATCTCGATGATCATAGGTATACCAATGGGTAATGACTAAAGCGTGTCTATCAACTAGCCTGACCTTGGTTTATAAGGGACCCCAGGGGCCTAAGGTTAAAGAGTCCTAGTTTGTTATAAGGCCATGGAAGGATCTCCACGCAGTTCAGCCTCCTTGTCTTGCCTGGCAAGGATGTCGATTCCTTCATTCTCGAGGCCCCCCAAGTCGTGCTGAAGGCCCAAGCCATACACCGACCTAGGTTTCCTGGGCCGGCCTGGTAGGCCGACTTCCGAGGTCTTGACGTGTTACACCGTCAATACCCTTCTTAGAACTATTGGGGACAAAATGAAGTTCTATTTGTGTTGCAAACATTACCACTCTTACAGGGTTTACGTGCCTCACCGGATTGATAACTTCGTTTCTTACTAAATACTGAGGGAAAACTTCCTACGTACTACAAACTTCTGCGCTTGGGAGCCAACCATGTACTTGATACACAAGTCAGCAAGATATGGGGCATGGAAGCGTGACGGCGTGGCCATCGGCCTAGGGCGTAACATCTCCCGCCATCCTACTGCACCACTGTTGCAGCGAGTGGCGGCTTCGCCCAGCGTGGCACGACTGCAATCTCCCGACACGGATTCCTGCGGTGTGGCCCTCCAGCTACTTGTCCTTCCTATTGTAGCCCACGACATGCACACGATGTTGGCCGTCTCCATTCAGTACGACGACACGACCTCATCATCCCCAGCCAGCCACGTGTCTCCCATGCGTGACCGGCGAGGCCACGCCTTCTAGTACACGGCATCCAGAAGGAGAGGCGACACATGACCTGGCTGCCTCCCGACAACGGTAGCCGATGCGGTGCTGCGAGCGGTCTCTCCCTCTAGACTTGGGGATCGACGACTGATGTGTGAGGGAAGGGCTCGGGCTCGGGAATGAGATATAGGGTGGAGGAGAGAGGTGACTCCCTACTAGCTCAATTGGCACACGCCTTGCTGGTGTGGCAATGCCCAGTCAACGGTCAACGCGATCAAAACCGCCCCAAGTGAGTCAAAACCACTCAGGGTTGACTCCTGAACCGGGTGCTTAATTTAAGGTGTGGGCCAGCCGGTTTTGAAGTTTGGAATTAGTTCTCAAACTGAGTCCCACTCTTATACTATCTCCGTCCGGGTTTACTGATCCACATTGTATTTTGTGCCAAATTTTGACCATAGATTAAACTAACAAAATGTTATGTCATCAAACATTATATTTTTGAAAACTATGTTCAAATACGAATTCAATGGGATAATATTTCTTGACATGCATTAATATTTTGTTAATTAAATCTTTAGTCAAAATTTGGCACAGACTACAAAGGGGACCTATAAACCAGGACGGAGATAGTATTTCTTTACAAAGGGAGTATTTTATTTTATTTTCAACCTCGGCTAGAAAAACCGAGTGGAATTGGTTCAGGAGAGTAATGTGGAAAAAAAATGTGGCTAGAAACAAGAAAGAAAATGGCGGAGATCACCATCACATCAAGGAACGGCGTACATTTACCAGGAACACAAGCGTCTTTGACTCTTCAACACTTTCCAGTTCAAATCAAGAAGAAACAGCAGGGATACTACAGAGAGAACCGTCCACTTGCTACAGCTTTCATAGCACACACAGAGTTCCGAGCACAATGCAGTTATCGGTGTCCTGAATTCAGGTCAGACTGATAAAGCAACCCATTGACGAAGTAACTGCCGGTGGCGACGGACGGGGGAACGAGCTCGTCAGTGGCGGTGGTCGAAGCAGAACTCCTTCCGGGCACCGCACGAGCAGGTCACGCGCACCACCAGCTCGGCGCCTGGGCACGCCGCCGCTCCGTGGCCACCTCCGCCCTCGCTCTCCTGTACGAGTGTAGATTTCGTTTAAGGCAAACTACCAACATGACAGAAAGAGGCACCGGAAACGAGCGGCATTAACCATTAAACTGACGGATGCATCGGTGGAACTGAACAAAATGATCGCGATTTGTTGCATTCTCGAGTGATTTCTTATCGATAAACAAAATGAGAATGCTCATTTTTCTGAATAGCCAAGGATCGCTGAACAAAACGATCATGGTGATATGCAGATATGCGAACTTCGGATGATTCAGGTGATCGGGTTAACAGAGAGAACATGGACTTCTAGGAAAGTGGGAATGGCTTACCCGCCTGCTCGCCTTCTCCAGCGGCCTTGTTGGCGATGTGCCGAACGTGCAGATCTTTCCCGCCGGTGACTGATGCGGCGATGACGAGCAGGATGCGCCGCTGGCGGCGAGGATGTCCTTGTTGGCTTCCTGCAGCGACCGAAGCCAGAGAAATCAGAGACGCGAATCGCAATTACCAGTAACAGGCGAAGAAATCCAAAACTCAACCGCAGAGGCGGAAGATCGAGCAGGGAGGGGGAAGCGTCGCGATACCTGATTGATCGCCTTCGCCGGCGAATTGACGAACGCGCAGCACGGCCTGGTCGACGACACGGACAGGGCGGCGCGACGGGTAGGGTCGCCGATGGCCAGCGCTTCCGTCTTGGCGACCTTCTTCAGCGGCACGGTGACCTGCAGCTGCTCTTCCAACTGCCGCTTGTTCCCGCGGCGCCGTGACCAGAGGGTGCTCCCCTCGGGCTTCCGCCCCGGAGATGCCGACGTCCGGGAAGCCGGGAGGAAGAGTGGCGGCGAGATGACGAAATCGCCACCGCCGCTAATCCTGGGACCCGCGGGAGACAACACCTTGTCTGCCGCAGACGCTGAAGAATCTTTCCGCCCGAGCGCCGGGTTCGGAGAAGCCAGGAACGCCGGTTCCCCGCCGTCGTTGCCGTTGGATCCCGTGCGCGTCGGCGTCGGGGGAGCCAAGGACGCGATGGCGCCGGTTCCGTTGGAGCTCCCGTGGCCGGGAGATAACGACGGCCGAGAAGAAAAGACCCCAAAACCGCTGCTGGCGGTGGAACCCATGGGTGTCAGCGACCGCTCGGGCGAAGTCAAGAACGCGAAGGCGCCGCTGCGGTTGGAGCCCTCGGGCGACGGCTGCTCCGGCAAAGCGCAGAACGCGAAGCTTCCGTTGCTTCCGCTGGAAGGCGACAGAGCCGACGAGAAAGCGCTGACGGTGCGTCCGGCGCTGGGTGGCGGGGAAGGCGCGGGCGCGGAGGAGAAGGGGGGAAGGTCGACCAACATTTTCTTGCGCGGGGAGAAGGCGGGGAAGAGGCAGCGGCGCTTGCGGCCGGCGGCGCAGGGGTCAGAGAAGGCGACCGGCGACTGGTCTCCCTCAATGCGGAGCTCCGCGAGGTGGTGCTGCCGCTGCGGGGTGTGGAAGAAGGCGCGGGCCATCTCCATGGCTGCGGTGCGCGGCTTTCTTGGGTTCTTGTTCTATGGCAGAAGGCAGCTATTAGGTGGTGAATACCAGAAGGGCGTCCGGGCTTTTTACACTTTTATTTATAGTATAGTATAAGAAAAAAAAGACAAGATTCGGCCTTTTCTCGAATACGGTAGTACTACGGTAAACACGAAAGGGTAGTCAATGAAGAAGTCTGAAGCGCCCGAAAATCTAGTTATTTGCCCAAGGTAGATTAGTACTACTAGCAAAAGAGCCCGTGCGTTGCAACGGGAGAAAAAACACAACACACACTCTTAAGCGAACAACCATCACTCAAGACCACAATAGGTCCATCTCCTTTATTTTAGCGACACATCATATTTGTGTTGCCGCTTATCCTTTTTCCCACCCTCGCCGGCGATGGACTTAGTGTTCACACAAACCAAAACGTGTTAGAATGTGGTTAATCCTAAGACGTCTCTCTCTCCATCTGTCCTCCCTCTCCCTCTCTCTCGCTTTCTCTCACACTCGCAATGAGAAATCTGTTGTTTTCCCCTGCAACGTATTCAGAGGTATGCATGTGTAGTTCTCGATGTTTTCTTTTCCCTATATGATTATAGTGGGTGTTTCTTTGCAATCCGGATCGCCGCCTGTATCAAAGAAAAATGGATCGTGCGCTATAGTTATAAGTTTCCTTCCAAAACAATATTTAAAAAATATTTAACAGGTAAAATTAACATCATATACAGATTTCACACATTTTTCTAATCAAATTTCATATATAACATATTAAAATCGGAGTTACGGTTTAAAAGATGCGTATAATTTAGAAAACCATTTGTTTGAATTAAATATTTTTCAAAATAATATTTATAAATACTTAACAGGTTAAAGTAATCTTATATTTATATTCTACATATTTTTCTAATCAAAATTCATATATAACATGTTTAAATCGGAGTTACGGTTTAAAAGATATGGATGATTTAGAAAAGCATTTGTTTGTATTAAATATGATCCGCGAATAGAATACCTAAAAAGTCAAGGGGGTTTTTGAAAAACTGTAAAATAACGGTTCGGAGTGACTTAAATCTGGACTGCGGGTTGATTTCATGTAAACGCAGGGGCTTTTTTGCAAATTGGCGCGACGAATGGGCAGAAACCCTGCGTGCTTTATTATTAGGTAGAGATGGGTGTGGCTAGATCGCTCTACATAATCAAGTCTCAATCAAGTCATAGAAAATATGAAAAATAGTTATAAAACGATTAAAAAATTACACAGATCTTCGTATAAGATTTGACGAATACAGTCGACAGAAATCTAGCAATCCCGTAGTACTATTGAATTATGTACTATAAGTGCATCTACAGTCGGATTAGGCAAATTAGTCACTCAAACGTCTGCAGACGCGCCCGGTCAATGTGCGGACGTGTTCGTTTTAACTTCCTATTTGTCCGTCCATGCTGTCATATCCTCTTTTTTTCCTATATGTCTAATCATATGCATGTGATTGATGAATAAGGAAAAAGAAAAGAAATAATAATAATAATAATAATAATAATAATAATAATAATAATAATAATAATAATAATAATAATAAAGAAAAGGATGTTGTGTGGTGGGACAAATCCTATGGGAGAGACGCAAAACCACTAAGCGGACATGCCCGATGAGGCTAATATGATGAGTGCCGGAAAACTCAGGCATTTAAGGAGGCTTTAAGAGGTCCGATTAAATCAAAAAGTTTCTTCTCTTATGTTTGCTCAGTGGTCCTGCGTCCCTAATCAATTTAGGAAGACCGGATGTAGATCCTCTAAATGGGTTGTCAAATTGTATACTCGCCATTAGGCTTACAGACTGCTAATACAAGAGGACTAATAAAAGGTGGAGCATGATATGTAACCAACACACGGTACTATGCTCCGTCCGAGCATAATTAGCTAAAAGGTGAGAAACCATATTTTGTGATCATGCTATCTTCACTGTAGTAAACTCCCGTTCTTCCATCAAAGCCTTAATTTCCTTTATCAAATTACCATAGGTAGATCTGGCTAGTGAATCATCATATGCCTGATAGAGCATCCATTGAATCAGATTGCACGACGATCGGCAGGGTAGACCACTGTAAAGCAAGAGTCATACCCTTCAATATTGCCTGTAGCTCAGCTTCGAGGGTATCATTGCAGAAAAATAGAACATGACAAGATGCGAACGTGACACCTCCGTGACTATCTCGAAGTACCATTCTAGCCCCCGCTATCCCTCATCCGGTGAAAAGTGGCCGTCAACCGATAGGGCAAGACTGCCCATGGGAGGTGGTTCCCAAGGGAGAACAGGGAGCCGGGCCGCATTGCTGCAACCCTGTATGAAAGAGTTGACCGGTGTCTTCCCCTTAGTGACTTGCTCAACTGATAGATGATGAACATCACGTACTGAGTTCAAATATGAACATAGAAAATTCTTAGACACCTCCGTAGGTGGGATATTCTTTCCATGTGTCAGATCATTATGGAGGCTCCAAATTCTCCATAGTAGCATAATAATCATCTCTCTGGTGATAGCTGGGTGAGAGCCAAGTAGATGCAGCAACCACTCCTCTCCCGTGTTTGTGACTTCTTCCTTCACCGGGATTGGCTACACAGTTTTCATAGTATCCCAAAGAATGGATGCGTTATCACAAGTTATCATTGCATGGTATGTATCTTCAACATCTTTACCACAAACTGGACATGTAGCTCTTTTAGCAATGTGACGGTCTCTTTTTTCGAGTTTGTGGCAAGAGCACTAGTAGCTACCTTCCATGTGTGGATACGCATTCTGTGGGGAACATCCGCCTGTCAGATGAGCCTCCACATCGAACGTGCGCCATCTGGGTTCAAGCTCGAAGCACCACCCGAGAACTTCTGTTCATGCTCCTCCATTGCCAGCTTGTATGCACTCCGTACTGTGAAGCAACCCTTCAGCTCTGGTTGCCACGCCACAAAATCTTCTTGCTGCCGAGCTGAAGTTTTAATACTTCGAATATTTGCAACGTCGACCGGCCAGAAGTGTTGTTATAATAGTCCAACATTCCATGATGTATCCTCATTCAGTAGCTGCGAGACACGGTTGCGTCTACATTGGCGCTTAGGTGTAATTGGCCGGCGGGCTGGTCCCCTTGGAATCCAGGGATCGCGCCACGTCCGGATCATCGAACCATCTCCCACACACCAAATCAACCCTTCCTTTCTCCCATGAGAGGGAAAGGCGGGAGGGGCTAGCCCCTCCCCCTTTTCCTTCCCTAAGGCTGGCCAAACAAGGGAGGGGCACACCAGCCCTCTTGTGGGCTGGCCTATCCCCTCCTTTGGCCCATAAGGCCCATATCTTGCCGGGGGGTGCCCGGAACCCCTTCCGGTGACACGATTCCTTTCCGGTACATCCCGAAACACTTCCGATGTACAAATACCATCGTACTATATATCAATCTTTACCTCTTGACCATTTCGAGACTCCTCGTCGTGTCCGTGATCCCATCCGAGACTCCGAACAACATTCCATCACCAAAACATATAACTCATATAACACTATATCATCAACGAACGTTAAGCGTGCGGACCCTACGGGTTTGAGAACTATGTAGACATGACCAAGACACCTCTCCGGTCAACAACCAATAGCGGAACCTGGATGCCCACATTGGCTCCTACATATTCTACGAAGATCTTTATCGGTCGAACCGTTATGACAACATATGTAATTCCCTTTGTCCATCGGTATGTTACTTGCCCGAGATTCGATCGTCGGTATCTTCATACCTAGTTCAATCTCGTTACCGGCAAGTCTCTTTACTCGTTCCATAATACACCACGTTGTGACTAACTCCTTAGTCATTTGCTTGCAAGCTTATGATGTGTATTACCGAGAGGGCCCTGAGATACCTCTCCGATACTCGGAGTGACAAATCCTAATCTCAATCTATGCCAACTCAACAAACACCTTTAGAGATACATGTAGAGCATCTTTATGATCACTAGGGGTGGGCATATTAACCGTTGACCGAACTACCGAACCGAAAGAACCGAGACCGAAGCCGAATAGACCGAACCCGATAAGATCGGTCACAACTCCGGTTCTCAGTGCTAGAAAACCGAATTAACTTCGGGCAATTCGGTCTCACGCATTGGCTATCCGAAGCGACCGAATACAACCGAACATGGGCCACATCTCGTAGAAAATGACGGCCCATTACTTTAACTCTCAAGGCCCTCACGTTTCTGGATCCTTTCTCCAGTCTCGCACGAGCCCCACTATCCACGTTCTACCGCAAGTTCCCAACCCTAGCCGCCAGTGCTCCCAACCTAGCAGCCAGCGGTGATTGCCCGGCACCGGTAGCTCGCAACCAGGGCGACCTCCTCCCTCTCCCTCCAGGGCTATTTCCCCCATAGCCCAAGTCGCCCCTACTCTCCTACTCCAGCAGCCAGTGGCGGGGTCCGGCAGCCGACGCCTTGTCCTCAGTCTTCCTTCTTTTGCGCAACCTTTACTGCTTCCCATCCACACCTAGATGGTAAAGCGGCAGAGTAACTTTGATCTATTGTGAGCAGCGATTCTGTGGAGGGCACACGATTTCTGGCTTCGTATGTCATTTTCTATGTTGTAGATCGGTATTGTTCGGTCACAACTGATCACCGAACCGAGCTTTTGATGGACCGGAGCACTGGTTAGCTGATTTTCTGTTGACCGATCGGTCAGCTTTTTCTCAAAACTGAAATTTTGTAAACACCGAAGCACCGACCCGATCGGTTCGGTGGAACCGAACGCCCAGTCCTAATGATCACCCAGTTACGTTGTGACATTTGATAGCACACAAGGTATTCCTCCGGTATCTGGGAGTTGCATAATCTCATAGTCATGTATTTGACATGAAGAAAGCAATAGCAATAAACTGAACAATCATTATGCTAAGCTAACGGATGGGTCTTGTCCATCACATCATTGTTCTAATGATGTGATCCTGTTATCAAATGACAACACATGTCCATG